TGTTCCTTAAATGAATTAAGAATTTTTCAAAAACATTTTGACAACGTTCCTTCCAAATGTTTCAGAAACGTATTCATGCAATGTTTCAGATTTATGGAAAAGGAATGTTTCATTTCATGTTTTTAGAACGTTTTTAAAACGTAATATAAAAATCTTTGATATTTGAAAGCTAATCATACCTTTTGAAACATTTTAAAAACGTTTCAAAAATATTTTAGAAAAATGTTCCAAAAGGATTTAATCATACTAGGGATGTCAACGAGTACCCGGTTAACCGGGTACTCGATCGAACGTCCGAGTATCGAATACTAAAATTGGTACTCGGTTACTCGGATGTATATTTTTAAATATTTCTAAGCTTATTTATTAATGCATTAAAACATCGGTTTTAAAACGTAAAATGTTCATTGCACTTGTACATACAGTAATTAGGGTTTCCTATGCCTCTAAATGACCGTTATCGCCTGTGGCAGTGTTTATACAGTAATTATCGTGACCAAACACCTGGTGTACCTACCCGGGCTTTTCTCACCTTCGACTGTCGTCTTCCCTTATATTTAGTTTGCTTTAATTATTTGTTTTCACTGAACATCGTTTAAGGTCCATTATATTTAAACAAATTAAATAATTTTGTCAATTCTCCAAGAAGTCGTAAATTCTCGGGAAAGAGACTGACGATATTGCACGTGCGATTGTTGATTTGGATGCATTTGATTACATGCCAATTAATGCAAATGCTTTAAAAATCTTATGTCCATCGTTGCTCTAAACTACAACATACCGTATCGTAATTCTATGAAATCTAGGATCAAAAAGTGTACGAAGATCGTATAAATCCGCTCTGTTATAGGATAACTTGATCAAGTTTATACCGTACATATAGCTCAGACAACTTATCACTTGGACATCAAACGCACCAAAGCGTTACACTACAATTACGAAACAGATTATTTTTTAAACAAAAACACTGTGAACCATGTCTGATTTTATTTCTCGTATTTATCTGATAAATAAATTGAACTTAAAAAAATGTTAGATTAAATTTCGTCGGTTACAAAGTGGTCATAATTGTTACAACGCATTTGCAGGTAATCTCCCATCGGTTTTATTTCTACAAGAGTTTACAATGTTTTACAGTTATCAATTAACTTGTTCATATTTATTTACACTTTAACCGAGTACCCGGGTACTCGATCGGAAAAACGTCCGAGTAACCGAGTATTAAAAATTGACCGATTTGACATCCCTAAATCATACTCTTCTTGAAAACATTTTTAAAATGTTTTTAAAATGTTATAAAGAGAAGAGGAAATGTTTTAAAAATGTTTTCAAAATGTTTAGTCTGAAATGTTTCGAAAAAAACCTTTTTACAACACCAATAAAATGTTTTGAAAATGTTTTGTGCTACCTGGGTGCATGCCTCTAGGAACTGAGTAATATTCAACTATTTTCCATTTGCTTTGATGGTATTTCCAGTATTCAAAAAAATATAACCCCGGTAATTAAATATCAGTTTAAATTCAAGGCCTACAAATAATGTTTTGTGCTTTGGTAGTATCTTTGAAAATAATTCAATTAACAGCTTTATCTTGGTCAGCACTAGCCATAAGCATCATGTTGATTAGCAATTTACAGTTATTGATATCTTGCAGTTGCAGTTTGATACAGACGAAATTACCACCATTATAACAAAACAGAAGATGATTAGGGAAAAGGTGTTAAACATCTGGCTTCATGCATTTATTACTGCTCCATTACCTTATTTTTACTAATACATTAGAAGTACCCCTGTATTACATATTAATTATTAAGTTATACTTATGAACATATGCAAAATAAAATACCAAATAAAGAAAATAATGTATTTACTCCATCAATTACAGCAAGTTGCATAAGAAGCTTTACTTGGGAATGTTTCAAAATTATCTCATTATAAGTAGCATTGTCTTAATTTATTCAACAAATATGAAGAACTGCTTGGACAAATGCTGCTGACTCTATCAGATGGTCTGTGTTGAACAAATGCCGCTAAATGCCGCTGACTCTACCAGAGGGTCTGTCTTGGACAAATGCCGCTAAATGCCGCTGACTCTACCAGAGGGTCTGTCTTGGACAAATGCCGCTAAATGCCGCTGACTCTACCAGAGGGTCTGTCCTGGACAAATGCCGCTAAATGCCGCTGACTCTACCAGAGGGTCTGTCTTGGACAAATGCCGCTAAATGCCGCTGACTCTACCAGAGGGTCTGTCCTGGACAAATGCCGCTAAATGCCGCTGACTCTACCAGAGGGTCTGTCCTGGACAAATGCCGCTAAATGCCGCTGACTCTACCAGAGGGTCTGTGTTGGACAAATGCCGCTAAATGCCGCTGACTCTACCAGAGGGTCTGTGTTGGACAAATGCCGCTAAATGCCGCTGACTCTACCAGAGGGTCTGTCTTGGACAAATGCCGCTAAATGCCGCTGACTCTACCAGATGGTCTGTCTTGGACAAATGCCGCTAAATGCCGCTGACTCTACCAGAGGGTCTGTCTTGGACAAATGCCGCTAAATGCCGCTGACTCTACCAGAGGGTCTGTCTTGGACAAATGCCGCTAAATGCCGCTGACTCTACCAGAGGTCTCTCTTGGACAAATGTCGCTAAATGCCGCTGACTCTACCAGAGGGTCTGTGTTGGACAAATGCCGCTAAATGCCGCCGACTCTACCAGAGGGTCTGTTCTGGACAAATGCCGCTAAATGCCGCTGACTCTACCAGAGGTCTCTCTTGGACAAATGCCGCTAAATGCCGCTGACTCTACCAGAGGGTCTGTCTTGGACAAATGCCGCTAAATGCCGCTGACTCTACCAGAGGTCTCTCTTGGACAAATGTCGCTAAATGCCGCTGACTCTACCAGAGGGTCTGTTCTGGACAAATGCCGCTAAATGCCGCTGACTCTACCAGAGGGTCTGTTCTGGACAAATGCCGCTAAATGCCGCTGACTCTACCAGAGGGTCTGTGTTGGACAAATGCCGCTAAATGCCGCTGACTCTACCAGAGGTCTCTCTTGGACAAATGCCGCTAAATGCCGCTGACTCTACCAGAGGGTCTGTGTTGGACAAATGCCGCTAAATGCCGCTGACTCTACCAGAGGTCTCTCTTGGACAAATGCCGCTAAATGCCGCTGACTCTTCCAGAGTGTCTTTCTTGGACAAATGCCGCTAAATGCCGCTGACACAACCAGAGGGTCTGTGTTGGACAAATGCCGCTAAATGCCGCTGACTCTTCCAGAGAGTCTGTGTTGGACAAATGCCGCTAAATGCCGCAGACTCTACCAGAGGGTGTGTGCTGGAGAAATGCCGCTTAATGCCGCTGACTCTACCAGAGGGTCTGTCTTGGACAAATGCCGCTAAATGCCGCTGATCCTACTTGAAGGTCTGTATTGGACAAATGCCGCTAAATGCCGCTGACTCTACCAGAGGGTCTGTCTTGGACAAATGCCGCTAAATGCCGCTGACTCTACCAGAGGGTCTGTGCAGGATAAATGCTGCTAAATGCAGCTTGTCTGTGCTGGACAAATGTGTTGGTATGATGTTGTTGGCCATGATTTTCGTGACTTCTTACATGAAGGAATAGCCGGGTTACCCAAGCCTTAACTTTCAGTTGAAATCTGAATTTATAGATTTATAAATCTATAAATCAATATCTATCATGTACACGTGTATGAAAGAGTAGCATTCACCAATAAATATTTTAATAAGCTTAACTGTCATTGATTATGACGTATGTCTAAGTATCTTATCTAGTAATCTTTAACTAGCGATTGTAGGCTAACAATGGTGCGTTTAGTTTACATGTGTTTTATCTTATCGTCGGCTATCTGTTATAGACCGGGTAACGATCGAGTTCGCCTTTATTATCGATGACAGCTCCCTCTATTGTTTGGTGACACGCCGAACCCAACTTTGAATTCAAATGATTCTGCAGAATAGCTGCCGTGTTCCAAAGCTTCAGAGAAATGAATATTTTAACTTGAAACAGGATTTACCGAGCTCACCTCAACATGCTAGCATAAAATTACCATCAATGCAACAAAAGATCACATAAAAGTGAAACATTGACGAGATTAAATCTCAGTTCGTATAAAAGAAATACATGCATTATTAATGAGGCAGGGTAGATAGTCATGAGGAACAAGTAGACATACAGTATTTATATAAAATACACTGTATACATATTGGAGCGATTCCATTCTGAAAACTTGTCAACAGAGGATTATAGAATCCTGGCAGAGAAATATGCCCGGAATGTAGAATTAAACTATCTGAGCTAAAATTAATTAACAATCCTCTACAGAAAATTTCTTGTCATAAAAAATAAAGATTTAAGATAAATTTCCAGACCCCATTCTACAATTTATACAAATACACACAAAAACTTTTCTCCGATTTCGGCGATTTTATTTTTTTCCCTCTATTTTCTCGAAGATATGCAACGCAAAATCCTCAATAAATCTCTAGAAATATGTAACTTTACAACCCCAGTTAATTATTCCTGGGAAATCAATATGATGAAAACAAATATTGAATTAGAAGTGAAAACAAATAGCTATATATACTAATGAAAGGTAAAATATTCACAGTACATGATAGAAATTGATTTATTGCATGAGGATATATCGGACTTAATTTATAAATGTTTAACATAAAGTGTTCAAGTATGTTCAAACAATAAAAATTAGATAGTTATACACTTATTTTTCAATACTTTTCAAAAGACTTGTACTTCTTACAGGCTCTGGTGTCAAAAATTATGAATGACAAAAAGAGTCTAGATCGAAATAAAAGACACCCAGTCCCTATCATAGGCAGTTACTGCATGATTCCATTGTGGATCTTTTTTTAAATAATCTGTGAATTTTGACTTGACCTGCAGAAAAACTTATAGAGAAATAAAAAAGGGGGACTGTTGGTAAGGTATTGAACCCCTCCTCACAAAACTGACAATATTTATAACTCGTTACCTGGCGGCCACTGAAGGATCCGCTCCGGGGCGCTCGCCCTCACCGTGGTATTGGCTGACGGATCTCCCGCCCCAGAATGCTGGAACTGGAGCGACATCTTGCCGGCCTGACTGGCACGAAGTCCACTGGCGGATCCAAGAATTGCTAGGTCCTCCTGATTACTCAGCCTGGACATGGGGTGCTGGATTACGGGGAGGTTAGGGAACCTCTTGGGTCCCGCGGAGACCCGGGGAACTGCCGCCGTGTAGGCCATAGCTGTCCCCCTCACTCTGACCGTGTACTCCAATCAATATATGAAAACAACACTTTGTACGGTTGGTCGTGTTTACATACCACTGTTTTAAATACCACAGTGTAAGCCCGCCGCCATTTTAGTGTACATAATCTCCATGGGAAACCACCTGACAGGTAAGGTCTTTCACGGACCACTGATTGTCACCCGACCATGTCTACAAAAGGTGTATTCCCTTAAAAAAATATCGACGTTTTTAAACCCCTCAGTATAGAGCTGATAAACCCCGACACTCAAGGACTGCATGGAGAACACTAATGTGATTTATAAAGGAACACATTAATCTCCTTTTAAAGTGATTCAATACAGAACGATGAAAATTATTGAAAAAAAATAAATGATTTATAATTCTTATATACTAAAGTATAATTATGTTTTAAGAATAAATAAAATATTTTTCACGAAAGTTTGATGTGATTAAATATCTACAAAGCAACGTTTTGAAAATGACTTAACAGCATGCTGATTTTCATTTGATACTAGTAACTGTTTGCTGTTGTCTACCTCTCACATTTAGTTGACGTTTGCTGTTGACTATCTGTCACATTTAGATGATGTTTGCTGTTGTCTATCTCTCACATTTAGTTGACGTTTACTGTTGTCTATCTCTCACATTTAGTTGACGTTTGCTGCTGACTATCTCTCACATTAAGTTGACGTTTGCTGTCGACTATCTCTCACATTCTTTGACGTTTGCTGTTGTCTATCTCTCACATTAAGTTGACGTTTGCTGTCGACTATCTCTCACATTCTTTGACGTTTGCGGTTGTCTATCTCTCACATTTAGTTGACATTTACTGTTGTTTATCGCTCACATTTAGCTGACGTTTGTTGTTGTCTATTCCTCACATTTAGTTGACGTTTGGTGTTGTCTGTCTTTCACATTTAGTTGATGTTTCCTGTTGTCTGTCTCTCACATTTAGTTGACGTTTCCTGTTGTTTATTTCTCACATTTAGCTGACTTTTACTGTTGTCTACCTCTCACATTTAGTTGATGTTAGATGTTGTCTATCTCTCACATTTAATTGACGTTTGCTGCTATCTATCTCTCACATTTAGTTGACGTTTGCTATTGTCTATCTCTCACATTTAGTTGATGTTTGCTGTTGACTATCTCTCACATTTAGCTGACGTTTGCTGTTGTCTATCTCTAACATTAAGTTGACATTTGCTGTTGTCTATCTCTCACATTAAGTTGATGTTTGCTATTGCTTACCCCTCACATTTAGTTGACGTTTGCTTTTGTCTTTTAGTTGACGTTTGCTTTTGTCTATCTCTCATATTTAGCTGACGTTTGCTGATATCTGTCTCTCACAATTAGTTGATGTTTGCTGTTGTCTTTCTCTCACAATTAGTTGACGTTTGCTGTTGTCTATCTCTCACATTAAGTTGACGTTTGCTGTTGTCTATCTCTCACATTAAGTTGACGTTTCCTGCTGTCTATCTCTCACAATAAGTTGACATTTACTGTTGTCTATCTCTCACATTTAGTAGATGTTTACTGTTGTCTATCTCTCGCATTACGTTGATGTTTGCTGTTGTCTACCCCTCACATTTAGTTGACGTTTGCTTTTGTCTATTAGTTGACGTTTGCTGTTGTTTATCTCTCACCTTTAGATGACGTTTGCTGTTGTCTATCTCTCACATTTAGTTGACGTTTGCTTTTGTCTATCTCTCACATTTAGCTGACGTTTGTTGTTGTCTATCTATCACATTTAGTTGACGTTTGGTGTTGTCTGTCTTTCACATTTAGTTGATGTTTCCTGTTGTCTGACTCTCACATTAAGTTGACGTTTGGTGTTGTCTATCTTTCACATTTAGTTGATGTTTCCTGTTGTCTGTCTCTCACAATTAGTTGACGTTTCCTGTTGTTTATTTCTCACATTTAGGTGACTTTTGCTGTTGTCTACCTCTCACATTTAGTTGATGTTAGATGTTGTCTATCTCTCACATTTAATTGACGTTTGCTGTTGTCTATCTGTCACATTTAGTTGACGTTTGCTATTGTCTATCTCTCACATTTAGTTGATGTTTGCTGTTGACTATCTCTCACATTAAGTTGATGTTTGCTATTACTTACCCCTCACATTTTGTTGACGTTTGCTTTTGTCTTTAGGTAGACGTTTGCTTTTGACTATCTCTCATATTTAGCTGACGTTTGCTGATGTCTGTCTCTCACAATTAGTTGATGTTTGCTGTTGTCTTTCTCTCACAATTAGTTGACGTTTGCTGTTGTCTATCTCTTACATTTAACTGACATTTACTGTTGTCTATCTCTCACATTAAGATGACGTTTGTTGTTGTCTATTTCTCACATTTAGTTGATGTTTACTGTTGTCTATCTCTCACATTTAGTTGATGTTTACTGTTGTCTATCTCTCGCATTAAGTTGATGTTTGCTATTGTCTACCCCTCACATTTAGTTGACGTTTGCTTTTGTCTATTGACGTTTGCTGTTGTTTATCTCTCACATTTAGATGACGTTTGCTTTTGTCTATCTCTCACATTAAGTTGACGTTTTCTGCTGTCTATCTCTCACAATAAGTTGATATTTACTGTTGTCTATCTCTCACATTAAGATGACGTTTGCTGTTGTCTATCTCTCACATTAAGTTGACGTTTGCTGTTGTCTATCTCTCACATTTAGTTGATGTTTGGTGTTGTCTATCTCTCACATTTAGTTTACGTCTGCTGTTGTCTATCTTTCACATTTAGTTGACGTTTGGTGTTGTCTGTCTCTCACATATAGTTGACGTTTGCTGTTGTCTATCTCTCACATTTAGCTGACGTTTGCTGTTGTCTATTTAGCTGACGTTTGCTGTTGTCTATTTAGCTGACGTTTGCTGTTGTCTGTCTCTCACATTTAGCTGATGTTTCCTGTTGTCTATCTCTCACATTAAGTTGACGTTTGCTGTTGTCTATCTCTCACATTTAGATGACGTTTGCTGTTGTCTATCTCTCACATTTAGATGACGTTTGCTGTTGTCTATCTCTCACATTTAGATGACGTTTGCTGTTGTCTATCTCTCACATTTAAATGACGTTTGCTGTTGTCTATCTCTCACATTTAGTTGACGTTTGCTGTTGTATATCTCTCACGTTTAGCTGACGTTTGCTTTTGCCTATTTCTTATATTTAGCTTACGTTTACTGTTGCATATCTTTTATATTTAACTGATATTTGCTATTGCATTCCGCTCACATTTAGCTGGTATTTGCTGTTGCCCACCTCTTACATTTAACTGCCGTTTGCTGTGGCTTACATCTTACATTTAAGTGACGTGTTCTGTGGATAACTGCCTCTGCAATTTAGCTGAAGTTTGCCGTTTTTTGATTGGATGACCACTAACTGTGATCAGCGGTTATCTCCCGCAAACAAATTTCCTGCCTCTATCTATAATGGCAACTTCTGGTAATTTTCGACTTTTGTGGTATGCCAACCTCTCACAATAACCAACCAACTGCCCTATTCAGGTCTTATGTTATGGCTTTTGTATATTCTCAGCTATGTGCCCTCCGCATCTGTATGCCTTATTCAGGTCTTACTACAAAGTATAAGAAGACACACAGCTAAAAACTATAACAAACACCGTCTCTAGATAGGTTTCAAAACAGTATGATACAGAGTGTATTATTTCAGTGCAGTCCCAGTACATTGGCAGTTACAAACTACAAGTTTAAATGATTGTAAAATTAATATTTTTTGGTGTTTAAGAATTGAAACGTAAACGTAGGTCTAACATTTTATACGACACTAAATCACAAAACCAATTTCCGTTTCAGGATATTTTACTTGAAAAAGACATTAATTGTAATCTAACAACCCAAGCTCTGTGATAAATGTGATGACTCTAACTTTTCTATCGTCAACTTCCCTTATTTATGCAGCAATATACCTTCATCACCTGCACAGTTTACATATCTCAGTTGATTCGATACGCAAAAGCATGCTCTACGTATGAACAATTTCTAAAACGAGGTAAATTATTGACAAACAAGTTGATGAAACAAGAATTTAAGCTGTCTCGTTTAAAGTCATCATTTCTTAAGTTCTATGGTGGATACAATGAATTTGTCAGCAAATACAATTTATCATTGAGTCAAATGCTGACAGACGTTTAACATACTATACATGTAACTGTTAGTCCAATATTTATTCACTTAATTGACGGCGGATTTTCCCATTATTTCCCGATTATGACAAACAGCACACGGTGGGTGTGGCCGGGCGGCAGGGGATGCTCACTCCTCCATGGCACCTGATCCCACCTCTGATGTTTTGGAGGTCCGTATTTGCTCTGCTCCAATTTTGTATTGTTTCATGGACTTTTAATCTTGAGTACTGTTCGTAATCTTTATATATTTCACCTGATCACAAAGTACGCATGCCAACATTAATCCTGGTTTCTTACACTAGCTATTTTACGATTACGATCAGAAATTTGCACATTTCTTTCCACGTATAAACAATTTCTAAAACGAGGTAAGCTACTGACAAACAAATTGCTGAAACAAGAATTTAAGCAGTCTCATTTAAAATCATCATAATTAAGTTTTATGGTCGATACAATGACCTTATCAGCAAATACAATTATTATCATTAAGTCATACGCTGTTAAGTCATATGCTGACTGACGTTTTTCATAATGATTGTTAGGCCATGATATGCACACGGAATTGTCGTCGGTTTTTTCCATTATATCCCGATCATGATCTGGAATAGATTACGGGTGTGACCGGTCGGTAAAGGATACTCCCTCCTTCATGACACCTGATCCCACCTCTGATGCTTTGGAGGTTCCTGTTTACTCTGCTCCAATTTTGTATTGTTTTATTGACTTTTGAGCTGGAATACTGGTCGTTGTATCCACGTATGAAACATATGGAGAAAACAAACAGTATTAAAAATCAAAGGTCCATAAAACAATACAAAATAGGAGCAGAGCAAACGCGGGCCTCCGAAACATCAGAGGTGGGATCAGGTGCCACGGAGAAGTGAGCATCTCCTGCCGACCGTTCACACCCGCCGTGTGCTCCTTGTCAGGATCGGGAAATAACGGAAAAATCCATCGTCAATTACTGTTTAAATAATGAACTAACAATCAGTATGAAAAAACGTCAATCAGCATTTGACTTAATGATAAATTGTATTTGCTTACAAGGTCATTGTATCGACCATAGAACCTAAGAAATGATGACTTTAAAGGAGAAAGATAAAATTCTTGTGTCATCAACGTGTTTGTTAATAATTTACCGAATTTTAGAAATTGTTCATATGTAGAACATGCTCTTGCGAATCAAATCAACTGAGATATATATAAAACTCCTGTCCTCGTATTTCCCACCATATGAAGAAACTGTATATTGATTGCATGCTGTTAAATGTCCCTCTTGAGAATTTTTCACTTATATGGAGACGCCACCACTTGCCGGTGCAGAGCTGCAAATTTTGTCCTACACCCGAGTCTAAGGGCCATTGGGCAGGGAGGGATTTTTTCGTGCCAGCACCTTCTGTAACATGGGACCTCAGTTTCTACTGTCTCATCCGAAGGACCAGTCTCCACGTCCCACAGTGGGATTCAAACCGGCGACGTAAGGATCAACGTAAGGAGCGTCTGCTCTAACCACTGCGCCACGCAGGCTTGTACAAGTCAATATTGTCAAATCATTAAAGTCCTCAAAATTATTAGAACACAGATTAATATCTGGAAATCCCATGAATTCCTGCATCGTGTAGCAATGCATCCATGGTATTAAGAGTTACCTCTCCTAATCTGATTTCTTAAAAAGCAAGATATTTTATGGAAAATTTTATTTATAAATAATAAAAAAAAAAGGAAAAATTTTCAAAAAACAACTGAAAATTTTAAATATCAAATAAAATATAATAAACATGATGCGACAATTATAAATATACATCAGTAAATAAAATACCTGAACACAAAAAGCAAATATAAAATATTGAACACAATGTATAGAAAATTAAGCATAAAAATACAAAATCTGTAAAACTTGTAGTACCTGGTATATCATTTACTTATCAAACAAAATACAGTGGGTATCCAATTCGTATCTAGAATTTTAATACTGTAATCACACAGCAATTCATGAGAGCATTGCATGCAAGGTATTGTGGGGAAATATTGGTTGCTTGTGTTTTGTTGTGGTTTTCTATTGCTCAACTTTTACAAGTTATAGCCGAACATAAAGTAATGGTCCTTGAGTACAGTTTTAACTAAAATAAAATATATAACACAAATTAAAAAATAAACTAGTGTTCCCTTATTGAAATCATACCCAGAACATAGCTCTAGCTTAAACATGTTAAACCCTGACGAAAAATTTGAATAAATTAACACGTGTACTGAATATAAATGAATGATTTCTGAAGGTTGCTTTTCTGCATTGTTCAGCTTCATTCTATGAGACTGGCACAACACTTATGTCTAGATTTACTGCTGCTGGTTCACATTATAATAACACTTCATTAGAACCACACATCAATCACTGATGTTCGACATTTCCTCGTCTCTTTCATCCTCCATTTCTTCTTCTTCTTCTTCAATGCTTGATGATTGCTCCAGTTCAATAAGAGACAGAATTTCCTCCGCAAGCGAGACAATTGCGTCCCGATCAACTTCCGGTGTAATCACATGACTTATATCACTCTGTTGAGACTCTAACGAAGTCTCACTTTGGTTCTGCTCATTAACACCCACGTGACTATAATTTCCGCTTATATTTGTGTCCTCAATACCCGAATCATTGGGATCAAAATCGTCTACCCTTGAGTAGTAGTCCGGATTGTTCTCTAAGTTTGACAAAATTCTTTGTACATTGAGTGCACGTTGCTGCTCGTATAAATGTTTCTGAAGTCCTACCACTATAGGATCATCCTCGGCAAACCGCTCTACTTCCACGAGGTATCGTAAAGCTTCCGCCGCGCAGTCTCTGTAGCCTGTTAGAACTACTTCCGCTTGTTCCAAGGGAGATAACCCTATCATGGCCGGATGTTGTGCTGTTTGTCCTGACATCAGAGAAGGGCTGCTAATAAAATCTTCACCTACAAAAAACGGGATCACATGTTACTCAGGATTTCCACTGTTCAGCTTCATTTATTTAGCATCTTTCTACATGTAAGTAATAACAAACCATGGAAGAACAGTTTTATGTTATTTTATATACATGATGAGTCATTGGTATAACATAAAAAAAACTGTAATATAACGAGTATAATTTGAACAATCGAATATTACCTAGCTAATCGTGGACCTCTCCAATATGTGCCATGAGGCTAAAATTCCACTTACGATTGAAAAGTTGCAGTGCATAGATTTACAAAAATCAATATATCTCCATGATTACCAACCAAACAATAACTGAATATTTTATCTTCTAATCAATGACGGATTCAAAATACTGAGGAGGGGATTTCGATTATTTTATTGTTTTTAATTAATTCTTAATTTATAAAGATAAAACAGGCAAAATGCGTTTGATTAGGAAATATCATGCTTAATCTTAATTTTGACAGTGTGAAATACTAAACAAAGTAACACTGAATGATGAGGATATCGGGTAGAAGGGGTGGGACGGGGAAATAAGAGGTATGGAAAGATACGCGCTTAATTAGAGTTTTATTCTTTTTTTCTGAAACTAGAGAAAATAATCAATTACCCAATTACACCATGTTCGCTTGAAAATGTTTTATTTTTTTTAGACCTTAATACAAAATCACTCGCAAGCCTGGAATTTTTTATTCTTTGCGTTTATCAGCAATCATAAATTGTATTAGTTAATTCGTTGGACTGTTTTACATCAATTGGTAAAAACCAAAAATATTTATAGATAGTTTCCTTTTTTATCTTTTAACTACCAGGCCTTTTTTATCAAAATGGTTAAGTGATCTCCAGTAGGGCTATATATTAACACCATCTTCCGGAATCTTGCACAAATGCCTGGTATAATATACGTCCCAAACTTGTACTGCTGTATACATTTTTGAGGACTCTGTGTTCAATGTTTTTGAAAAAAGGCTAACCTTATAATGAATTACTACCGGAGTATCCGAGGGAATAAATACTTTATGCTATTGATATATTTATCAACGACTTTATGCAAAATTCAGCTAACCCACGCCCCACCCCTTTTCCTCTCCCTCGTGTAGACATTTTCAGTGATTTTATCATACAGATTTGTCTTACATTCTACAATTATTCAACAATATTTTAGATTTAAAAAAATAGAATAGAAAATATCAAAGTTGTCAATAACTATAGCCCGAACAAGAAATACAGACCTGTAATATGCATGTTTAAACACTGAGTCCCCCTCATTGTACGGCGATTGTCACAGTTATATTATACAGAGAGATTCGTTGTTATATGCACCGTGACTCCCGACAGTTTGTGTCTATAGCCGCTTCATAGCTTACTAACCCCCGAGTCTGAGCTCTGTGACTATCTCACCCTACAGGACAGATGGTCCCAGATCCCACACAATAAATTTGTCCCATTGTTATAGAGCCATGTGTGAATCGCGCCACATGTGTCGGAATGTTTAAGGGGCGGGGTCACGGAGTCGTGATCGTTCTAGCGCACTATCTGGTCACACATGTATGCAAACAAAGTACAGGTAAACAGCACACACATAGGTATAAAGGTAGAACTCGACCCACGCGCCCGTGTTTGTTCCGAGGCGACATGTGGCGAATGACAAAAGTTTAAACGGCCGCTCACCCCAGGTAGAAATGTACCAGTCATTGTCTGGGGTACATTATTTTGTATACTCAGGGACGTCAAACCAACAGCTTGTGAAACGGACTGACAATTTTCACACGTTAATTTAAATGTTATTGTTCTCAGAAATAAATGCTGAATTACGTTATTTCAGATTATTTTAAATGTAGAAAATCATTTTAATATCAAAAATTTATTGAGTAATTTTACGAATGAAATTACTAACTAAAGGATCATTTATAAGACTTAAAAACTTGTAATACTGAAATTTTTATTCGTCATATGCAATCCATCATTAATTTACTTAAGGACATACTGATACGCAACTTTGTTTGAACTTTTTGCTCTTTTCCAATTCTTGAAGGAACTGCGCGCGATATTTTAATGTCTATATATGGTGTTGTGCACTTCTTCTAAAACTATATTTGATAAAAGGAACAGCTAGAATATATGTTTAGTATTTTCTATACATTTTTCTTTGAATCATCCAAGAATTTTTATTGACTGATATCTCTCAAAAACCCCTGGTAATACATGCTGATTTTTTGTCTATGAACATCTTGTGACACTATATTCTTAATTTAGGAATATCTAGGAAATTTATCAGTAGGTAAGATACGTTGGGTATGTCCTTAAAGACAAAAAATCAGGTGAATTTAGGGCACCTGGCCAAAGAAAAAAGGTATATGTGCATGTACAGTACAGGGATGTCAAAAATATTAGGGAGGGAAACAGAGAAAGGAGGTGTATAAGATAGAAATTAAATACTTCTTAATTCAAAGCATCCATTGTCAAACGATTTTTGATTACACACACTGTACAGGTGATATATCTATAGGCATATATGGAGAAAAACTTGACTTTGGGGTTTAATTACTAAAACTGTCTAAGACCCTGGGTCGGTTATAGGAATGTTCGCGAGGGGTGGTGTGGGAGTTTACTTCTTGGTGACAAGCTAGCGCTGCTTTCTTCAATTTTTCAGTTTTCATCTTTTTTATACCTGGTATAAAGGGATCACTATATGGGCTACTTATTTCAATTTTGAATTCAAAGGTACACTTTTAATCGCAATGATATTTTCCTTTCAAGCTCGGAACTTTATCTGGAATGGAACCAGCTGAATCTTAAAACAATTTGAATACCTTCACTCGGTGCCTAATAGTTACAGAGGTGATGACAGGACCAAAACAGGATTAGTTTTCTGTACGTGGTGATAATGGACTCTTTATCGTAGGAATGAGGAAAACATTATCACCCCCAGAACACTGACATGGCCTGCCACAACGTAACCCCCCGATATCAGATTGATTATCGACAAACTTCAGCACCCGACCTGTCAATATTGTGTAAGACGGCGAGTAGGTTATTTTATAAGCCGGAATCTGACAATTAAAACTCGCAATCTGTGATCAAGCTTCTGTCAAACTAATCGATATTTGATTTTCCGACTTAAAATTTCAATGCAATTCCAAGGCTGGACTGGTACACGTATTTGTCTGTTTCTCTTTTATCAGACCTGTAATTGTAATATAAAAATTGTAATATAAAATTGTAGAAGGGGTATATAATTTTGTTACAGATTATTGGGTTGTTTTGTCTTCAAACTTATTTTATTTACAACCTTGTTACTGAAATATTTTGGTTATGGTTTCACAAAAGAATATATTATATAATTCTCCTTGAGAGAGCTTGTTTTTCTTCAGGTAAACAAAGCTTATATTATTTTTTAAGGTTTACTCTGTATGCTTTAAAAGCAAAAAAATCTCTATAAAATTAAAACAAAATGGAAAAAAGACAAGTCATATGCCTGAACATCAGGGAAAATTTTATCGGAATTTGATCCAACTAGACTGGAATATCATATCTACCGAGTATCGACTTGATAAAATTTTCACGTTTTTTGCTTGGATTTAACAAGAATAATGATGCATGACTATATATAAAATGAGGGGTTGGGGTTAGTCATTGGACCTGGTGCTCATACGGAAGATAAGGGCAGGGGGTGGGGGTGGGGGTTATAGCATTAAACTTCCGTATCTAGTCATTTTCTGTTGATAGATACATGTATTGAGGGAAAAAGGGGGGGGGGGGGGGTCAGGGAAACTTGAAGATGAATCGTTTATCTTCAAAACTGAGTTGCTCAACAGCTGGTAGCATACCAAACCATGAAGCAAAGTCACGGAGTATAACATCAATAATAATAAATATTTACATTTGCAAATGTTTTCCTTTATTTAACACTACTGAAAGCAAGCGTTTTTATAACTGTATATTTACATTTGCAAATGTTTTCCTTTATATAACACTACTGAAAGCAAGCGTTTTTATAACTGTTTGTCTTTATAAACGAGTAATATCTTGCTCAACACGCGCGCTGGTATAAACATTTCACACTTTGAAAGTCACAATCATGAAGCAAAGTCACGGAGTATAACATCAATAATAATAAAATATCCCAATGGAATTCCTGTTTCAAATTTCATCCCAATAAAACTCAAAAAATGATACCTTATTTCTTAATTAATACAGGCACGGGGTCAAGAGGTCATAGATGTTCGTATGGATAAACGTTCGACGAAATTTTGGAGAGGAATGTAAATATATAAAATTTTTTTAAATGTTTTGACCACACACCCCCCCCCCCACACCCCACTTCTCCCAACCCCCTTCGTACCGTAGCCTTACATGCAATAATCTTAAATTTCCAATGTTCGTCCTTAATCAAAATGACAAAGGGGCGTATACTTAAAACCTAGCAGAGTACACGGAGTGCTCTAACTCTATAAAACCTTACCGGGGACCGTGTCTTCTGTGTTACTTTGTCCGTTACTCTGCCCGTGTAGCTGTTCAACATATTGTAAACTCTGAAATAAAAAAATATACATATATTCCATGATAAAATTATATATTTTGGTATTCAGCTTAATTACCAAATAAATCAGTTCTGTGGGTTTTCTTTGATATGACCAATTAGATTACTGAAAAGAATTTCATATGCTTGAAAACAAAGATTTTTCTGTCTTTACAATAAGACTTAACTGAAAGCATTTTCTCAAGCTAACAATTTGAAATGCTCAAATTCAAACTGCATTCAAACAATTAAAAATGATTAAATTCAAATGAAAACACTGTTGAATGATAGCACATATCTACCGCTTTCTTTAGACAATCTACGTCCATATTCAACTAGAGACTCCCTCAAAACACATTCAAATACAGAGGGAAAAATGAAATAATTAAAATAAAACTGTACGAGTGCGCGTGAGCCAATGAAATGATGAACTTTGATGCAGGACGCGCGTTCTCCGCCATCTGTCGCGTGCGGCGATAGAAGTTTTTGTAAACAAAAGCGGGCCTTCACGGGTGATTGATAACACATATGGTGATTTCCAGTTCTATCACAAACCATTAATTTTCATCTTATTCCTGTTTTATATTTTCATATCTATAGTTTCTTATTTTAAACAAAGACTTTGTAATTTTTTCAAATTAATTTCAATTAAATGAAAGTCATACCTTCTTAAAGGCTAGAATTGAAAATTTCGTTGATCTTTTTATCCTTTAATGATTAGGTTACATATATTGGAATTTTAATCAAATTGCATCAAATTGTTAAAATTCTTCAAAACTGGCATTATCAGCAATGTTTTGACGACCATATAGTTTTTGTATCATCCTTTGTAAATCTATTACAGATACTTCAATACCAACAACCAATTGATAAAAGACCGACAAATCTTTTAAGAATTTAAATAAAACGGGTTTTTTTGTTTAATTAATCGATGAAGCAATTTAACAAAGCATTATTACCTACCTGCTTGAATAAAGTCATTCTTTGATGAATGTGCTGACTCAGTTTTTCACAGGAAAATGAGTGAATAAAAAAAGAAAAACATTTAAAACCTTCGAATTTTGAGAAATCGGCAGACAAGAAGAGCAGGTGATTGGAGAACGTAATTCTGGGGCCGGCATTACAACACGGCGATCTAGATCACCTGTACATGCAGCCCAGAAAGCACCTGCTACCGTCCTCACATCAAAGACCCGCGCGTGCAGCTGTCCCCGTGTCGACCAATCACACGCCGCTACCGGAGAAACGCCAATTTGTGTGTAAATACATCACGGTAAATAGAAATTAAAATTCATAATGAAGAAAATGTGCAAAGTGTGAAAGAGTAAACCTGCATTGTCAACCTTATTTAAGTTATCTGTGTATGGTAGACGCAGAAAGTATATAAGCTTGAGTTTATATTTTTGAAAGTGCAATGTGTTTTGCTGCTATATGTAAAATTAGTAGATTAATAGATTAAAACACTGTGAACAAATTTCATCAGGTCATTAAATAAAGACACCTTTGTTTGAAATTTTAACACAACGTTTTCACCCCCCTCTCTCTCTCCATAATTTTCAATGTTAATTCAACAGAACGGATGCATGCGTTAATTCCCATAAGGTTTGTTGACATAAATATTTAATATTTCAGTATTGAATAGCTCTTAACTATATGAAGATGTTTAGAAACTTAATCTGGTGTCGTCTGATAAAAACTCAGGTGACTGTTGAGCGAATGCCTAGGGTTTCCTCGGTAATAATTAAAGAACGTGACTGCCTCGTGACTGCCGTCCGCGAGGCGCACGGCGCGCGTGTCGGACACACACTCACACACGTCCTGGACATTCCAGCACTAGTCCAGCTCAATATAAATCTTATACACGTCCTGGACATTCCAGCACTAGTCCAGCACAATATAAATCTTATACACTTCCTGGACATTCCAGCACTAGTCCGGCACAGTATAAATCTTATACACTTCTTGGACATTCCAGCACTAGTCCAGCACAGTATAAATCTTATTCACTTCCTGGACATTCCAACGGTGTGCACACGTGTACGGCACAATATACACACCTTGGACATTCCAGAAGTAATTATACTTGTTCGGCACAAACCAATACACTTCCATGGCATTTCGAGAC